AGGAGTTCTAGAACAAGGTTTATTGGACACTTCATTACAAGAGACAGCATTAGTGGCACAGGAAAATTGAAGGTCCTTGGCAATTGGGTCAAAATTTTCTTGCCAAATTACAAAATTGACCAGGGCTGACTATTTTGTTTTAATGTGGTGCTGATATTCATTATGTCCTCCTTTAACTTTACACTGTTTTAGTGTTGCTACCTTTCTTACTGAAAACCCTGCATTTACAAAGTAACATAATTATTATTTGTCTTTCTATAAAGCCTGATGAACCTCCAAAGGTTTGTTTGAAGTTGACTCCACTGCAAAGTGTTGTGGCCAAGGAGGTGTATGCCAGAGTTGATTTGATCATTCAGTACAGAGCAGACTATCCTAATCGGCAAGTGTACAGACTCCTTTTAATTATTTTTGCTTACAATTTTAAGGGAGTTAGAGAACTGAGAAGAAAAAACTGAACAATATTCAATATATGGATCATAAGGGATCCCAGATTAGCCTCTTTACTCTAAGAGTGACTGGCATCTAACTCCTCATTACTATGTCACTCTTTAATCATAAATGATCAGGTTTTGGAGCCTGCGTGTAACCAGTTATGTCATAAACCGAAAGAACATATTTTTTCCTTGGGAGGTTTGGGGAACATTAATTTTGGAATTCTTATAAATCACTTACCTTTAGCTCATGATTTATAAGCTCTCCAACATCCTATGTCATGTTTTCTCTTGTTATAGAGCATGGAAAATTGTATTCCATAATGCTTATTAAGTCGTATGAAAACAAAAAGTGTACTCCTTCTTTTGTTTTGGTTTTAGTGATTTTGTCTAGATCGAATTTTGTCATAGTTTTATCAATTATTTGATAAAAATAATGACGTAGTGTCCTCCATTTTCATCTGTAATCATGCTCATGGTTAACAAATCAAACTCCCACTTCTTATTTTGTTTTTTAAGTTACAATGTATATCATGATAATTTCCCAAAGTTTTGTAGTGAAAAGACAACCACTGAAGACTGATAAGGTAGAAAAGGTAAAATAGTGCTGATTCTTGCATTCATGATTGACTGCTCCATGTCATTATTAGGAGTCCAAAGCTCTCTCTGTGTAATGCTGAAGGTATTTCGGAGGTAGATTGCAATACGCTTCAAGATGAGCTTCGTAAGATGGCTGCTGATCTTGTTGGTGAGGTAAGCTACATGTATACCATACTTTTATGTTTTTATGTTAAACACACTCAGTGCTTGACAGTTTCTTCATTAATCTACAATTTTGTTCAGATTTGTACTATTTGGAAGTGATTTCACCCATAATTGCTAAATCCTTGTGGTAACGGGGAAGTGCAGTGTTCTGTGAACGAAAGTTACTATTAAGGTGGCTGAACACAGTTTTTGATACCTGTGTTTCTTTCAGCATTTTTCTAAAACCCTTGTCCTCGGTCACCAAAACTGGCAGCAAGCAAGTTAACAACACAAGCTTTGTTTTTGAGCTGACGTTTGTGCCATTGCCATGATAACATGAATAAATATAAATAGGCCTTTAAAATTGTTTTATTTTATTTGTAGAAAATCTAGTCATTAGATTTTCTTCATAATTTGCATGCAACGAGCTCGTAACGATACTCACAAGTTAACACCATTTTGCTAACAATTTAACAGAGAGATCTTTAACTATCCTTTGTTGAAAGTTCCCTCGATTATCTAGAATTTCGTTTATTAAAAATCAGTTATTTTCAGTACTCCAGTTACTAGTTTCCTAAAGTATTTTAGTGCCAAATTTCGAGAAAATCTATTGAGTGGTTCTCAAGAAATAGGCGTATTTCCGAGAAAGCAATTTTCCATTCCTGAAATCGCAATTTTCTTACTTACTATGCATGTGCTGCATTTAACTGGGTTCTTTTGGTAATGACGAAAAAGCTGAGAATTGCTGGGTTCTTTGCACCGTTTACTTTTCCAACATGTCTTTGAAATTAAAGATTAAAGCCCTCAATACACTGTGCCAACTATAGAGAAAAATAACACAGATAGTGCGGATTCGTATTGAGTAAATAAAATGACCGCTCTGTTGACGGCATATTTGTTTTTTTGCAATCCTTGTGCATGCGCTGAATTGCATCAGCAAAAGTGCGCGCGAAAACTGTGTTCGGCCACCTTAATAGTGATGTAACTGTATGATTAAAACAGGTTCAGCATTTGCAACCTTCCGTGGCATAATACTAGTTCTCTACTACAATCTCTCTTTTAAGTCTCTCTCAAATTAGTCACATATACTGGAAATCGCACATGTATTGTTAGCTACGTGTAAGTATTTTTTTTATACAGTAACTCCTTAACTCCCAGAAGTGATTAACATGTAACCTCTCCCTATAATATCCCTACATTATCCAACAAACAGGTTGATTTTATCATTGTCATTATTACATTTGCTTTACTTAAATTTCATATACTGCCATGCAGGTGATGGTTCTGCAATTAGCACATCATGTTCAAACGTGTCTCCACCAACACAACAAACCGCAGTTATCATTTTATGACAAAATGATGGCTGATAAGCGTAAAGAAGAGGAGAGAATCCAAGCTGCAGAGCGCCAAAGATTGCAAATGGAAATTGAAGCTAAGAAAGAACGAGAAGAAAATGAGGCAAGAATCAAAGAATTTATCTTCAAATATCCAAAGCTTCTATAAACTAAGGATTATTCTGCATTTTTTGTAAACATCATCTATATCATTAATTTTTGGCATTAGTGTGATCATTTTTCAATAAGGGTATAGAAACATAACTTTTTCAGCACCAAGATCTGAGTATAAATTCTCCTTAATGTTTGCCATACAAGTTTTATGATCTTTGTTTGGAGAATTTGTTCATATTGAATCTCCTTATTGATATTTTTCTTAATTCTCGTCACTTGTCTCCGTGATATTGTATCGATATTGTAAGGAGAAATTCTGTCTTGGTCACTCTTGGGTTAAAGGGTAAAAAAATTTGACAAAAGTAAAGTGAGAATTATCAACTCATTGATATAGCCGATGATATACCGCTACTATTATAATTTATTTTATTTCTAGGAACGAGAGATAGAAGAAGAGCTACAAAGGAGAGATGAAGCTATGAAAGAGAGCAAACGACGGAGAACTGTTGTTATTCCAGTAAGGATTGCGTTGTTGTTACTGTCAGTGTTAGCTTTATTTTAGAGTACTTTTCGATTGTATGTTTTAAAGACCAAGATAACGACAACGGCCAGTCCTAAGAAAGGAAAATACACTAAAGAGCCAATAAGAACTCAAAAGTATAAAAAATGAAAACTGTCCAAGACGCGGGAAAACGCAGGCGACCAAGTCGTGATTGGTTTCAGTTTTGTATCTGATTGGCTGAGAGAGTGGCGCGAGTTTTCTGGACCAATCACAGGGCAAAGTAAAGTGAAAGCAATACATGTTGGGGTTCAAATTTTACCTCTGGTTTAATTTTTTCAAACCAGTTCAATTTTTTTGAACCAGTTTAATTTTTGTAAGGCAGTTTTCAATCAACTTTCTGAAAAAGGGCACATTCATTTTTTTGGGTGTGGATTGAAAAATGGGGTTTGGCTTTTTAGGGGAGAATTCTGAAAAAGAAGTAGACGTCAGATAAAGACCGAGATTTCTCCGTTATCTCTCAAACCGTATTATTGCTTACTCTCTTCTTACCTGCTCCCGTAATACTCAGATTTTTTTTTTTTATTCCTGACTTTAGACTAGGCGCTCTATCATTATTTCAACTCACCTGGAATTGAACCATGCACCAACATTTTCAGAATCTGTTGCCGTCTCTTCGATCGATTAGGCCACGCTAGATTTCGTTGACAATCTCGCCACTTTTTACATTATAATTTATTAGTCCCAGTCTCCCCTCTGCTCGGTCAAATTTATTATTAATATATTCGTATGCTTACACGCATGCGCATTTGATGCAAATTTGGACTTCGATAGAAAAACTGGCAGAGAACTCATGCGTCTCAAAAGAAATTTTTCCTCAAAAATTACATGATTTAAAAGTGGAACAAACCAAAAATGAATCGCTATCGACGACAGTTTCTTTGACAAGGCGAAGACATTTTTAAAACAGCAAACAGTAAAGTCCCTCGGACTAGATTCAGGCAAACAAACCGACTTACAAATTACCAAATGGGAGATGGACACAATCGAGCGAAAGAACTGGTCCTATGAAGATGATTTGCTGGTAACGAAAGACAAAAAAAAGTAATCCCCAAAGGACAGCTTCATAACATTTTAAGCCTTGCGCACAAACGCATAAATCACCGAGGAAGACAGATATCCAGCAAATGGATCAACAATAACTAAAGCGAAGTCAACAGTAAAGTAATCAGCCTGTTTGTTGCTTCATGTAGTTTTCACGCTGAACAAGAATCTATTATTAGTAGTGTGAAAACGGTAGAAAAGCCCCTTCAGTCTCCGCATTTCCTTTCTCTTGTTGAGATTGACCTAATGGCTTTCAGAAACTGTCCATGCAACGGCACAGAACCTCATACCTGGACGATTGATATCGTCGATCATTATACCAAATATGTTTATGTTTCACCACTTGTAAACAAAACTGCTGATGAAGTGCTGAGAGCCATAAAAACGTACCGTTACACATATGATTTCCCTAAAAATTAATGATCCTCACTGACAATGGAAAGGAATTTAAAAACAAACTGAAAAAATGGAAGCATTCTGCAAGGAAAATTTGCAAGGAATTTTTGTATTGCTTGTTACTCGACAATAAAATTTATTTGTTGCAAAAACATTATTTCAGTACTTTTAAAGAAATAAGAGCAAGTCTTATTCTAACAGTTCAATGTTTTCTTATTTGAATACACTGCTGCAATACATTCCCTAACCCTAACCCCAACCCTAATCTTAACTCCAACCAGTAAAATGAACATTTGCTAAAATGTGGACACCTGAAAAACACAACTTAATGTTATACACAGTAAATTTTACATGTAAAACATCAAATAAATCAGAATGAGCTGTGCGCTTAAAAATTTTAAACCAGTTTGAAAATTCTAAACCAGTTAAAAAAAATTAAACCAAAGGTAAAGTTTGAACCACAACATACATAAATACATACATAGTATTACATACTTTATTTAAGGTGGAAATACGCTTAGCTTAAGAGCTAGTTTACAGGTATTCCACCAAATCCCGGATGACTTTTGTCACTTAATTGAAAATTTCTCTATTAGGCTTGATTCATGAACTGTGTGGGCTTTGTTTGATCAATAGGAAAAGAACATTAAGACAGATCCGGCGGCCGAGAGTGTAAAGACGAAAGATCCTGACACCAGCCCAACGGAACGCGATGAACCTGTGCCCGACTTCTCATTCTTCTCGGGAGTTCCCGGAAAATCTCGAGTCAAATGCGACTTTGAGGAGTTGCAGTTTCTTGGAAAAGGAGGTTTTGGAAATGTCATTAAGGTATACTTTAGCTGATAGTGTCAATTTGACTTGCAAGTACGAGTACGAAAACACTGTAAAATCGAGATCTAAATAAGGCTTGGTTTCCATACATTGGCAAGATCGGCCGTACCTTTTTTGGAATACATAGCTGTTTTGGCACAATGGCAACACAATCATGGATTTCAAATATATGATTTTTAATATGTTAATTTCTTGACGTGGTATGTTCATCGGCTAAAACATAAAGAGCGACAATATTCTGTTATGGAGAAATCTGCCTTTTTTTGGTCTTTTCTCGAACTTGGGACAAAGAAAACATCTTAAGGCCTCATGACTGAGAAATCAAATCACAGAACATTCGGAATCCGCCACATAGTACAATGGATAGCATAACATGTGACACACGATGGCATACTGCAAGGATCAGCAAAGTCAATAACCCCGTGTTACTAAACATATAATAGGGATAAGCTCGGTAATGAAATAAAGAAAGACCCCAGAAGTTCCCACGCCGCTCAATTTTAATCTTTATATTATATTTACGCATTATCTATTTTTTAGGTGCGAAATAAGCTGGACAACTGCTTTTACGCTGTGAAGCGGATTCCTTTGAACCCAAAGAGCACTCAGTTTAAGAAGAGGATCATGCGTGAGGTACAACTGATCAGCCGGCTGAATCACGAGAATGTTGTGAGGTAAGCATGTAATGAAATCATTTCGGACTGAGTTTTCGTTTACGCACAAATCGTGCGTATAGACGTATAGACAAACTATCGTGGAACGCGCAAACACAACGAAAAACTGGACGCAAAGAAGCAGATTTGAAATTAAAGAAAGCTGAATTAAGAATGATAGAAAAAATACCACTGAGTTAACATATTGTGAGGTACAACTGCATCCCAGCTAGCTAGCCTTAAATATTTTACTCCAAGGAAAGGAGAGCGAGTAAAGAAAGTCCGATGGGGGTAATTATTTAGTGAGGGTGAATTTCATTTGGTCCTCTTTTAAGCGAGTGCCTATTTTTTTTTGTCTGAAGCCGGTGGTTTTTCAAGCTCTGATAATTATTGGTAGCTCTTGAAGAAGAGTTGCATCGAGTTGGTAAAATGGTTCTCGTAGGGAGGAACTTTTGACGACGTAAAATCTAGGACGATTTTAAAGGGCCATAGAATGCAATGCATTATAAAACTGATGTGTAATGTAGCAATGCATTAGAGCTGTATTTTTAATGAAGTGAACTTTGCTTCTCTAGCCAGTTCACCAGTTTTAATTGTCGAAAACAGATTACCTAAATATAATTTGGCCTGATTTCTGAAACCCTCAGTAGGCAGTAGGTAAACGAGTTGGCTATTGGTTAGTTATTATCGAAGAGTTAACAAATGTTTACAGTGTGATTCGAACGCGGGACCTCCGAAAGACGAGTCCGACCCGCTTACCAATCGTGATTCACACTGCCATCCTTACAGTTACATTTTCCCTTCTGTAGATATTACAATTCCTGGATCGAAAACGCTGAAGAACAGCAGCAGGAAAAGGATCAAACGGCAGACGAGAAACATCCCAAAGACATGCCATCAGAAGAAGAAAGTCTTGTGAAATTCAATAAGATCGAAGCACCGAGAGTAAGAGGTAGTAGAAATGACATAGAAGAATCGTGGTGGCAAGACGATGAAAAATTGGGGAAGAATGGATCCGATTCGTCTTCAAGTGATTCGCAGGAATCGATTCGAAGTCCAAGTAAAGTAACGTCATCCAAGAGTCACAGTGTGTCATTCTTCAGTAGTAAGTCTGAGTCGTCTGAAGGGGTGGTGTTCACAGGAAATTTTGATGCGTCGGTTCTTCAGTTTGGAGACTTGTTAGATTCAGAGGTGAGGTGGTTTAAAAAATAACACAGAAAATTGGGTTGTAGTCGATGGCGCTTTTCCAACAAGTAACTGCTAAAAAAACAGTTCTTTATTATTTTTTTTTCCTTTTTAATGCTGTAGTTCTGGCCATTCTCGTTCCGTCTGATAAGGGTGACGACCCATCGCTTTTAAGTATTTAAAAGGAATGGCCTTGCAAATCAAGGAATGTGGAAGTGTTTTAAGACGTGGGTTGCTAAGAGTATTCCAAGGTCTCCCTGATAAACTACGCTGAATGTTTTTGTGGAGCCCCCATGTCAAACGCTGATATGAAAAGATCATTCAACTGTTATGTTCCTGCACTTTCCTACTTTGAATTCTCATAAGTTGATTGAAGAAGCAGGGGGCCAACAGAAATTTAAGAGTATCCCTTGCAGGGTACGTTTTAGCAACTGTTACACGCACAGAATACGTTATCTGAGGCACGCGATCAAAACGTGATGGGATACTTCGGGAACAGACATTTACTGGTCATCATTTTTTTTTTTTCAAGTCCGAAGATTCTGATGACGGAGTGGAATGGCAGGAGACTGGAAGCGAGTCCAGTACAGAACAAGCTGGGTTACAGTATTTGTACATCCAGATGGAGTACTGTGAGAAGAGCACTTTAAGGAACCTCATTGACGAGGGCTTGCATAAAGATAAGGAGCGAATTTGGAGGCTTTTTAGAGAGATCGTGGAGGGCCTGGTACACATTCACACACAGGTGATGCACAAGCATTTAATTAATATGGGACCTGCGTGATGTAGTTTGCACAGATTTTTCCAAGGTGGATCACTTATTAATAATTGTCCCAAGTTAACGTGGCAATGGTGAAGCTCACCATAGGGTTTTCGTAAGAACAGTGATAGTGGATCAGAACGTGGATGATTCAGATGTTTCGTTGTTCCACGCTCGGGGTAAAACAGAAAGCAAAACGTTCTCTTTCATTTTGATTTTTTTTTCTCTTTGCTGAATAGGGCATTATTCATCGGGATCTTAAGCCCGTAAACTTGTTCCTAGATTCTCTCGGTTGCATCAAAATAGGCGACTTTGGCCTTGCAACAACGCACGGCATGACACGCGGAGGCATGGGCACTGAGTGCCCAGATTCAATTGTTAATGGCGAGTCTTCGAAGATGAACTCAAGCGCTAAAGAAAGTATGACAGGCAAAGTTGGTACGACCCTGTAGGTCGCTCCCGAGTTGGGAAAACGTTCTCGCGGCCGAGTGAAGTACAGTCAAAAGGTTGACTTGTATAGTTTGGGGATTATCTTCTTTGAGATGTGTTACAAGCCTTTAACAACTTCTATGGAGAGGGTCAAAGTTTTGGGCAATCTACGAACGGTACGTACATGGTTATTGAAGTAAATGCTTAGTTACGTTTATAATAAGGTTGTAGTTTTTCTCGTCCACAAGTAGAGATCATAATAGCAAAAATGGCGTTCTTGAGATCTACTTTCAAAAGTTTCAACGCGAATTTGCTTCTCCTGTTGTAATAAATTCACTTTTTTATCTATATTTGAAAAGGAACTAATTAAGCTAAAGAATATTCCAAGTTTTCAAAAAAGTCGTAGAGGCAATGAAGTCGTCGATCTTTTCTTCTCTAGCTTTTATGGCAGATTTCATTATCTGTTATTGTGTCCTATCTCTTTCTTCATGAGGAAGGAATCATCTTCCCGAGTGATTTTGAACACAAGCGCCTTGCTAAACAAACGATCGTCCTCAAGTGGCTCCTCAAACATACCCCCGAGGAACGCCCTACTTCTCAAGAACTACTTCAAAGCCAGTATGTGCCGCCTAAGATTGAAGATGGTCAGTTGGACGAAGTGCTCAAACATACGCTCGCGTCAACGAACTCTACTCGCTACCAGCGTATGATGAAGGCCATGTTCTCGCAAAGCGTTTCTTCAGTTCAAGACATAACTTACGATCTTGATGTTTTCACGGGACCGGTTTCACCACATGCCATCCTTGTGCAACAAATGGTTCACGAAAGCGTGAAATCCGTGTTTTTAAGACACGGCGCGCTACGGTTAAGAACGTCGCTTCTTGTGCCGCGCACGAAGTTATTTGAACAGCTGGAATTTGCTGTTAGCGTTATGGACCACAGTGGCACGCTTGTCACGCTCCCTTTCGATCTCAGGATACCGTTTGCGCGTTATTTCGCTCGAAATGGGGTCGTCAACATGAAAAGGTTTGACATCGGATGCGTGTATCGTGATAAGAAGATTCTGGGTGCCCACCCCAGGGAACTTTACGATTGTGTATTTGATATCGTAACCAGCTCGTCGGAAGACCTTGTGCCCGACGCTGAGGTTTTACATACGGTATTCGAGATAATAAACGAGTTTCCTTCGCTGGGTTCGCGGAATTATTACATCAGGATCAACCATGGAGCTCTTTTGGGCTGTTATCTGACTTCTATAGGTGTATCGGGTGAGCGTCAGGCCGAACTGTTGGCAATTTTGAAAGAAATTCGCAGTGAGAGTGACCGAAATGTTCAGATTAATGAGTTTGTTGAAAGTTTGCAGCTGAGTGATCACGCAGCGACGGCACTATGCGAATTCTTAAACTTCGAAGGCCCCGTGAATAAATTACGCGAGTATCTGATCGGGACAATGAAGCGAAAATCTTCGGTCGCCCAGACTGCGCGACAAATTGTCCACGATCTGGAAGCGATCACGCAGCACGTACAAACATTCAAGATCAATCTTCCTGTGAAAGTCAACACGTCTATGGTTTATAACTACCAGCATTTCTCAGGTTTGATTTTCCAGTTTGTAGCCGCAAACAGGCGGAAACGGAAGCGAGGGGGCGTGGATATTTTAGCAGCTGGAGGAAGATACGATAAGCTGATAAAAGAATTCAGCCGGGGAGGAGAAGCTACTCACCCCTCCCATGGAGCGGTGGGTGTCAGTATCGCGATTGAGAAAATTGTGGCCGCTGTTTTGGAAGACAAAGACGTCAGCAATCTGTGTCCCTATGATGTCTTGGTCTGTTCAGCTGGGCGTAACCGAATGGAAGCCGAGCGCATGCGTCTTGCACATGATTTGTGGGAATGTGGCATCAAAGCAAACATTTGCTATGATTCAAAAGACATGGTATCTCTGGAGGAGCAGCAGGAGTTTTGTAAACAAAGTGGAATTCAACATATGGTGGTATTGAAAGAGCAGGAGGGCGAAAGCGTGAGGGTGAGTGAATTAAAAAAGAAAAAAACGAATCCTCTCCCGAAGTAGCCTGTTGCATTTTTTAGGCGAGAAAATTTTATTGTATCTTTGTATGGTAGGGTTTTTTCCTGTAATACACTTCGTCAAACAGGCGTCTGTCCAAAGTATGGTTCTTATTGTTTTGCCTGTTTTGATTAACAACTTGTAACTGAAAGAATTTTATTGACCTGCGGATGAAAATCAAGCAAAGAGAGTAGAGATGGTACTCGTAGGTAGGCAGCAATGTTAGCAGTTGCAGAAAAGAAGCCTGGATGAAATCAGGCTTCGATTGCTAGACTGCAATTGCTAGACTACAGTTGCAAAACTACAACTGCAAGACTACAATTGCAAGCCTAAAATTGCAAGTTAGAGTACAATTTCAAAAGTACAATTGCAAGACTACAATTTCAAGACTGAAAACATTCCTTCGCCTGTTTTAGATTGTTTGTTTGGTCGCTTTTCACCGATGAATGCATCAACACAGAGTTCGACCTGTGAATGATAATAACCGACGGAATGATCTTTGCCAGCGAACTGTAGTGTAAACAATTGCCAAAAAAATTAAAAATATGCTCGGACTGTGATTTAACCTGTAGCAGCTGTGCGCCACTATCACCTGAGTTCAAAACTAAGCCACAGATTGCAACTCAAGGCGAATTGTGCGAGGTTTGTTCAGGCTTCTTTTTCTGCTGCTTTTCATAACGTAATTTACTGAGGAAGATCATTTCGTCATATGCCTCTTGTTTCGTTCCGGTGACTGAACTACTCTTTTTCATCAAGGTAGTTAGACAAAAACTGGGTAAGATGAAAAAGAAACAATTTGCAATGTTGGTTAACTATACTAACAGGATGGAAAATATTGATGTGAACTGCATAATAATTTTATAATAATAACATTTTAATATTTATATTGCGCAAATTAACATGTGGATATGATCAAATGCGCATCATAATACTTTTCGGGGGACTTTGGCCGGACTGCATCAGCAGTTTACAAACAGTCGAAGGAAACTTATTTGAAGATGCCCCCTCCCCCCCAATTCCCAGTAAACAGGCCAGACCACATCACAGTAATCTCGTGAGTGGGTTCTTTAACGTCCCCTGCCAAACCAAATTAACAAATGAATAGATGCAGGAGACGGATGAAGAGAAAATTGCATGAAGAGAAACTTGCAAAAAGAGTTGCATTTAGTTTGTATAAAACTTAGAATAGTCCCCTTAAATTTTCTCTGCGAAACGTTAACTGCTTCTAAAATCGAACGTTGGACTAATAAGTTAGAAAAAGCCGGTGTTTATCATACGTCTCACATAGTCTTGTCATGGAAAGAACGGAGACTAAAAAGAATAGCTTCGTCGTCTTCTCGTTTTCATTTGTATTTTGTCAAAAAAGCCTATCCTCCCTTCATAATATAATTTTGATATTTACCTGTAGTCACTGCTTAGTCATTTATCTCACAGGTGCGATCTTTTGACAAAGAAAGTGTCAAAGAGTCTCGCGTAAAGAGAAAGGAACTTGTGGCCCATCTTCAAGGGAAGTTCTCTTCAAAGCCTGAATCGACAGAGTCCTCTGCACCCCAGGGTAATAAGGGCGCTAGCACACAAAGCAGTAACGAGACGAGTTCTCCGGTTGTTCCGGAAATGAAAGTCTCGTTTAACACCCAGGAGAAGTGGGCCTGGAACACTAAGAGGAGATACGAAAGCTTGATGATGTCCAAGATTAAACCTCTTTTGACGCACATCAGCTCCAAGAATGCTGTGGAACTTATTGCGGTGAGTTTGAGGACGTTGGCACTCCCATCTACACGATGTGCTACGTAATGTGTACTTTACTTCGCAGTTGATGTTCTGGGTGTCACGCAACAATTGCGTGACATCCCAAAGATGAGCTGTATGTAAGAAGCTTACACCCTGATTGAATGAAGGGGGTAAGTTTCTCATGAAACCGTGACGCTGCGTCGGTGGCGGGTATTTCAAGTTGATTCGGTTTTATCAACTGAGTGAGGGCCACCGTAAAGATTTTCTAAAGCGGTGACGTTTTGAGCGTTAGCCCTTTGATATCCCAAAGATTAGCTGTAGGTAAGAAGCTTACACCATGATTGAATGAAGGGGGTAAGTCTCTCATGAAACCGTGACGCTGCGTCGGTGGCGGGTATTTCAAGTTGATTCGGTTTTATCAACTGAGTTAGGGCCACCGTAAAGATTTTCTAAAGCAGTGACGTTTTGAGCGTTAGCCCTTTGATATCCCAAAGATTAGCTGTAGGTAAGAAGCTTACACCATGATTGAATGAAGGGGGTAAGTCTCTCATGAAACCGTGACGCTGCGTCGGTGGCGGGTATTTCAAGTTGATTCGGTTTTATCAACTGAGTTAGGGCCACCGTAAAGATTTTCTAAAGCAGTGACGTTTTGAGCGTTAGCCCTTTCTCGAAACGTCAGCCTTGGAAACTCTTTACGGCGACCAATTAAGATTATCAAATGCTAAGAATATATGAGAATCGTATATTTGAAATGACTGCGGTTACAGAAACGCATAGGAGAACGATCTTCGCAGTGAGCAGCACTATTTAAGCAATAGTGAAATAAAGACTTGAAAAAAATTCAGGCCTGTACAGGATTCGAACCCATGACCTCTGCGATGCCAGTGCAGTGCTCTACCAACTGATGACCTAACAAGCCAACTGGGAGCTGGTTCTCATCTGCGCAATATTATCAACTCAGTTAAGAAAACCAAATTATCGTTCGCTTTGAGTGGTCGAGTATTGCGTTACATCTCGCTATAATCACCCTTTTCGGGGTGATAATAACACCAGGGGGCGCTAAATTTCAAAATGGCTGCCTTACGTTTTGTCGATGTTAGAGAGGAAAAGATAAACATCGTTTTAGAAAATGCAACTCTAAAGAGAACAGAAGATACTACAAGAAAACGCGTCGCAATTAAAAACATGTTTGCTTTCCCTCACCTGTTTCTTTTTCTCCTAGGTTGACCTGCCTGGTAGTGTTTTACGCTATATGTCGGGAATGCTGGAACTGGATGCAGGCCAGGACGCATTCGATGCCAGCGTTGCAACCATTGCAGATAAAAACCCGCGTTACAAGAAATATCTTGGGCGCGTTTGCGACGACATCAGGGACCTTAAAGTTACTAAGAAAGTCCCAGTAGTTTTCGTCTATAGTGTAAAGGATGAAATGTTCAAAACATTTTTCTAGTTGAAATTTTTCTACCAACCCAGGCTATTTTGTCATAGCTAGACATTTTCAGCAGTCGCTGAGTTAATGGATGTTGTTGGCTCGTTATACAAGTCACACAACTTCTGTAACAGTATCTCTATTTTTAGAATTCTGATCGCGCAGAAGATGGCAAGTTATTACTAGTACTGTAAAGACAGCTAGTCTCGGAGACCATAAAGGATAAGTTTTGTATGACAGTTAAATAGATAGAGAAATAAATCAATGATGGCTTAATCATTGATATCTCGATTCCCTTATCTTTGTCTACTTCTGGTAAAACCAAGTAATTTGATTGTAACAACTGCGGTGTTGATACTGTAAATTGCCTATTGTAAAAAGTTTCTAAAGCTGTGGTTAAACGTTGGCCCTTTGTCATTCGCGCAAAAAAATATCCCATGATAGTACATAATTGAGACAAGATTCTGAGTTTCTGTTTTGTAGAGTTTATCAGATAACCCTGGGCGTAAATCAGGTCGGTGCATCCTTAAAATTTCCATGCCTTTGTTTCACAAGTGAAGATGTAATGAATTGGGTTTACTTTAAATCATTATAGGTAAAGATCAACAAGATGTTATCTTAACTTGTCCAAAACGTGTTGAAACTATGAAAGGTCAACCTTTGATTTCATTTGCAAATTGTGTGCTGTATGTCAGATGCTAGTGAAACTGCTGGCCCAGTCTTTATTGACTGTCCCGCAAAAGAACTCTGTTATTTATTAGTGAGGCGTGTAGTTATCTGCTTAGAAGTATCAAAGTCTGCCACCAAAGTTTATTGATTTTGCTTAGCCGAATTCCGTCCCGGCTATGCAGGGAATAGAAAAGTTATCACTTCAGGCCCCAGTTGTTTCAGGGGAGAATGAATAACACTATCCAGTAGATTTTATTACGAATTAACAAAATGACCAGCTCCCAGTTGGCTTGTTAGCTCAGTTGGCAGAGCACTTCACCGGTACTACATGGGTTCGAATCCCGTACAGGCCAAAGTTTTCTTTTTTCAGGCCTCATTTTCGCTACTGCTTAAATAGTATTCGTTACTGCGAAGATCGCTCTCGTACTCGTTTTTTAACCGCAGTTCAAATATACGACTTTCATATATTCACAAACGCAGTACGTTTTATTGACACTCCTTATCCACCGGATAGTGAGTTATCCATAGGATACTGTCAGCCACTCTTCTATCGAGTGGGCCCAGTATATGAAGACTGAATGAAGAGACGTGTTATTAACCCTTTAACTCTCCTTATAATATCAATACAATATCAAGCCGAAATGTAATGAGAATAAAGGAAAATATCAACTGAGGGATTATCAGTTGATCCAATACCAAATTCTCCAAAGTAACATCACAAGAATTGTATGACAGACAGTGAAGGGAATTAGTAATAGGATCATTGGAATCAAGGGAATAGAATTGGCAGATCTTTCTTTTTCACACAAACGCATCGAAAACTTGCCTGACTCAGAAAACCGTAACTAATTGTACAAAGGTGATATAAATGATAAACTGATAATCTTCTCAAATTCGGACCAGGAAATATTTTTAGGTATGCTGACGTCAACCCGGGATTTCTTTGCACGGCAAATACGAAAATTGAGTACAAGCAAGCGGAAGAGTCAAGGTTTTTCTTTGTTTTAGAGCATAAAACTTTTTATGATTCAGGTGTCAATCTCCAGCTCATTATCGGCTCTGGCTCTCACTTTTCAAAGGTCGTTATTGGAGGCTTTAAGATTGAAAATGAATATGGTTGAGTATAAGGAAAAGGTCTTATTTATTCATTTATCTATTAAGTTATCTGTTGTAAATACGAAAATTGAGTACAAGCAAGCGGAAGAGTCAAGGTTTTTCTTTGTTTTAGAGCATAAAACTTTTTATGATTCATATGTCAATCTCCAGCTCATTATCGGCTCTGGCTCTCCCTTTTCAAAGGTGGTTATTGGAGGCTTTAAGATTGAAAATGAATATGGTTGAGTATAAGGAAAAGGTCTTATTTATTCATTTATCTATTAAGTTATCTGTCGTAATCTCGTCGAGTTGAAGAAGTGAATTGTACGTTCAATGGCTGTACGTTTGACATGGCTTGTGGTTACATTGACACAGTGCATAACCAGTCACCTCTAGTCTTGTGCTGCTTGTGATAAGGTGAAAACCTACGGGTTTGGAGCGAGGGTTGGAACAAACGGGCAAAGGCAAGAAAATGTTTGCTTTTGGCCATATCAATGTGATACTTTTTGTCAAGTGCAGTGTGATCCTCGCCCAGTGTAATGAAGGAAACTCTTGTTAAGACTATCTTCTACCATTTCAGGAAAGGAGGGAAAAATAATGCTCGGAATTCGTTTGTTATTCCTCTTACCGTCTGGTAAGTACATGTTCACACAAGAAGAGAGATTTTTTCATACCGTCAAAATTGTTGAGTTGGGGCTTGATCAGAAGCAGTTGTAAATTGTTGATGACTCATCTTGTAGCAGTGTCAAGTAGTATTTTCCATGTTTTTGTGGCAACGATTGATTGCCTCTGTGGCTATGCTAGTTCGTTTTAATGTTTCGGTAAAAGCTCCTCATTTGTATGCTTCATCAGTCTCTCATAAATCTAAACCTTATTTCCGTTGATCGT